TATCCAACACTCGACGATGCACGTCATACATCGGCAATATTAATATTCATGAACAATACGAATCAAATGCTAACAACACATCATCAGAACAAACAAAAAAATCAAACTATGAACGTTACTGCATTATCAATATGTGTTACTCAGTGCAAATGTACAATAAAAAACTCCAGCTAAACTATACACCAATTTACATATTAATACAGATCAATGCATTCACTCAAAACAATTTCTGACCACTTAAAGAAACGAGCGATCAACACTATGTTTGCTAATTTATGCAGAAAAGAGGATGAACGGCGATTGAACAACAACGATTGGTGAATGCAGCAGACCTTAATAAATGAGAACATGTTTAGTAGCACTCTGTGATGTGAAATGATAAAGACGATGAGTCCGTCTATCTGATCTGAACATGATACTTTTGTGTTAGTTGATGTTCGATTTGTTTATGGAGGATGTTCACTTCGTGCTTGGTCAATGCTCGTTCACTACTGCGATACACCAATCGATAGGTCTGACTTAAACGACCAGTCTTTTTGTTCAAGTAACAATCACTCAGATTCACCTGCAAATTGACTGCATCATTTTAAGACTTCTGAAAGGGAGATTTATTCATATGCAAGCGGAAGATTGTATGAACGGGCATTGAAAGTACCCATGGATATAGTAATCATGAATGTCGTTTCAACTTTTAATACGTCTTTTGCATTGATTAAGACTGATAACTGGAGTAAGGCTGTTGCTAAATGATTCCACATATTAAAGATGCGAGAGATGCAGAAATTTTGCGTTAAATGATGGGCATCTGAGTATTATTGGATGATACTCTATCACTAAAACTAACGAANAATACATAATATCTTTTTAATGGTTTTCACATAGGATATGATTAAGCAGTGGAATGACAATGAAATAACAGCTTCAAAATACTGAATGATCAACCTGTTCCACGAGGTCACCGCCAACCGACCGAATCAAGTCGTACGTATTCGCGGTCATCTCTTCAGAATTGACCCCGTCGCATAACCAGAACGACAAATCCAAATACAACTGAGGATGTACACTAACCGCTTTATACTTCACCCTATCATTCGGTTTTATTCCAGCGAACTGTGATTTAAATCCCGAATCTGTTGACCAAAACAGACGGATATCCGGAATACCGTACAGAACCTACGAGTTATGCATCATCATTCAGGACCCATGTGACCCATTCTCATCGGTACTGAATATTAAAATGAACCAACCATCGCAAGTCGTTCCAAGCCGATTCCAAACGCCCAACCAGCTCTGGCCCGAACACCAGCCATACTCAGCAATTTCTGTTCGAGAACACCACAGCCCAGCACCTCCATCCAATCATTATCGTAATAAATCTCCAATTCGAATGATGGATGTGTGAATGGGAAATAAGCATCCACCCAGCGCATTTTTATTTCATTGCCGAATATTGCACGTGTTAATTCTTCCAATGCACCCTTCAATATCACTTCTAAATTTTACAAACAAATTGCACAGCCGTGCAACAGAACA